GACAGAATTTTTGATTGAAAAGCTTAACAACGAAAAGTAAAAAAACAAAATAAAAAAATCACTAATATTGTTGTTCAATTGTAAATAAAGTTTTGTTTATTTCAATTCACTGAAATGTTTCCAACTAACACATCACTTTGAATAAAAAAAACAAATTTGTATATATATAACAAAAATTATAATACATCGAAAGTTTTCAAAAAAAAGAATAAATAAATAGACAATACATCAAGGAAGCAGTACACAGATGCATAATAAAAAATACAAGACTAAACTTTAGGAGAACAAACAAATTTTATTTTTTAGTTTTAACCAAAGAAAAATATTACTTGAAAAAGAATAATTGTATTCCTTGTGAAGAGTATGGTGGCCGATTTTGTTGACATCGGGATTACCATTTGTGTACACTGGCGAACGAATGCGCGAAAGAATGAACGAAGAAGCGAATAAGACGAACGATGCGACGTGAATTGGAGAAGGCTAATGAGCCAACTCCAAGAGATAGAGAGTGATTAAGAATATATACTCAGACAAATAAAAGACACATGCAACAAGCGAAATAGGCACACATGAATAAAAGTGACGAATGATTGACAAGGTCAAATGACGAGTGAGACACGTCATGTGAGCTCTTCATACAAACCAGACAATAATAATAAGAACGAATGGCACATATAAATTGTTGCAATACAAATTGGCTTGGTTAAATAAATTGATCAAAAGGGCTTATCCAAATTAGATGTAAGCGAACTCGAGTACATGTGGGAGCACTACAAGAGAATGATTATCCATGTTGCTGTCAAATTTAATGCAAGTTTAACCTTGAATTAAGAAAAGCTCCCATAGAAATTATAGAAATTTATCTTATATTCATAAATAGCTTTGGAAAAGGAAGCCCACGACAGAGTAGGTAGTAGAATACTGGTCAGTGGCCTATGTTCGATTGGGGGTAACAGGCGTAACTAACATTCAGGGCTTAGTTTATCATGATTTATTTACTACAATATAGACGAATTTTAATTAACTATACGGTTACATTAGCCAATTTTAAAATGATTTTCCCCTTAAATAATTCACCTAACCCATTGTTTCATTGATATAAAAAAGTTAAAGACAATGCAATAAAAAAAATTATCTTTTCAATGGCATCATCTCTATAAGCCATACAATCGTATTCATAGTGATTTAACAAATGCGGTAGTTTTTTTTCTTCAAAAAACAGTGTGCTTGAAAGTTCCAGATTTTAAAAGAGAGTTGAATCACAAACAATAAGTTACAAAACAATTAAATGAAGTCAAAATAAGTGATGAGTATGTATGTGAAAAGTAAAGAAGAAAATTGGGAAAAGGTACTGAATACAAATAAACAAAAGAATTAAAAAGTATTTGAATAATGCGTTTAAAAAAACCTAATTCTTAAGGGTGAAAAATTAATTATTAGGCCCGTAGTAACATATGTCACTTAAACACATAGAGTAGTGATTTGAAAAAATTAACTGACAATACCTCTGAATTTCATAATTTATGGAATTGCATTGCCCCTGAATCAATTCATTTCACCGTTTAGATCATTTTGAGGGAGAGGCCCTGTGATGAAGTCAATAAGATTCCCTAACATTCGGAGATTAATTGTTTTAAATTCGTTTTTCTTCAGAGCCACATAAGATAATGCTACATATATTTAAACAAAGAGTGTTTTTTACATCCAGTATAACCCTCTCAATGAGAGATAATGAATTTTAAAAAATGATGTGCATGAGGTCTAAAGCAAGAGTTCATCTGTAATATATCCACAAAAAATATCGTATGCAAAGAAGATAATAGAAAGCTTTGAAGCACCTATTTTTCTTCAAAGATTTCTCCAGTCAAATTTTTAAAACTTTCTCTGTAGTATCTCTTTCAAGTTCAGTGTTTATTCGATAGTAGGTAGTTTTTTTCAGATTTTACTTTTGGTTTATAGTTTATTTCAATGAACCTAGAAGGAGAGCCACTTCGGATGAGTGCCTATTTAAAAGTTACATTAGTTTATTGTCTTGTTCCCTTTTTTTCAAAGCATATTCATCTAGCCCTCAAGAATAAAAAATAAATTAGGTTTGGTTGAACAAGACCTCGAAAAATTCTCATATTGAATTACCTTCATTTATTTGAAATTTTTTTTTCAAAATTATCCCATTTTGAAATGTACATTTAAAAAAGGTATTTTATTCAGTAAACAGGTAACATGAAAGCAATAGTTTAATATAGATATATGCATAGTTATTGGATAATTTTAATCTATTAGTAAATAAATTGATCACCATGAAAAAAAATCCATTCATTACAACATGAATAACAACAACTTATTTTCTGTACAGAGGTTGTATCAGATCACAGAATCACTATGAGACAAACATAAAAATTCATAAATCTGAATGAAAAATTTCAAATTAATCATCTGTTATGTTCGTCACTAAGTATGCTTGAAGTTACGATTACGAGTTCACCTTAGTCGATAAACGCGAACAAGACAATGAACCAGCGTTCAGATAGGCTACCTTGAATCCCTCCCTAAGCTGTAAACAGAAGTCTTGGTATAGCGTAGAAAGTATATTCTACAAACACCCAGCAATCACAATACAATCGAGTACACAACTCTCGTTTATTTATACATCATAGAAACTTCCTTGGAACAGTTAAGAAAATAGCACACTAAAATACACAGTAGCCAATCACAGCCATGGATTTTCCTGGTGGGAAATGAAATCTCAAGGTCAACTGATCAGCCCATGCTCACAAACGTGAAATCCAAAATGAGGCATTTATCAAGCGAGTTCTTGGGATCCCCAACATCATCTCAATAGATTGATTTAATTTAATATCCGAATGTTTATCAAGTTGAGAATATTTTAAATAGTCATTTTAAACAATGAAATTTAAAATTTTTTTTATCATCAGTGCAAAGATTTAATAATGTAACGATCCTAAGTATACTACTTATTTTCTTTGTGGAAATATTTATATCTCTATATTTGAAGCAACAATATGATTTTGATTGTATGATGACGATTTGCATTTCAGGTGAATGTTTTTGCTAGCGCTATTTCCTCTTAGCTGAATTTCAAGGGAACATGTCAGTCGATGACAATATTAGAGACCAATCAAGGTCAGCAGAATTCAATGATTTAATCATCTATTTTTTTAACAAAATTTTTGAAAAGTTCACTTCAATTTGAAAAGAGGATTAAAAATGTTTAGAAATTTTAAAATTTAAGGCATTTAGACGGAGTTTATTGTACACTACTTCTTAAATATTTAGTTTTAGATAAATTAAATATTTACCTTTTCTTTCATTATTTAAATGTTTCAAAGAAACGACTCGAATATTGATTGACAAGCCTACAAGCAGTAGTCTGTACCGACAATGCACAACAGAATATGCCGATATGTTGTATTTTATTTATGTTATTCATGTTCACGATGAAGCCGACAAACATTTTAAAGTTGAATATAATATATGAAGAGAGAAAAATTTGAAAAATTATTGGATGCAACTTGAAAATTAGGCCATAATGAATGGGGAGATACACATTTTTCTTATAAAGTGACTAAAATATGAAATGGAATTACTTATTTATTATCAAGCCAATTAAATGAAACAAGACAACGAAGAGATGACTGGAAAAGAGAAGTTTAGAAATGTAACCAACGCACATACATAAAAACTCTTAGAAACACTTGACTAGATACAAATGTGTTTCTACTTAAATACTTTACTATTAAAGGCTTATTCTCTGTCATAATCGTCTAAATGAAACATTATATGTTGACAATAAAGTATCTCATACGCATTAGATCAATTAGAACATATTTAACACATATCACATCATCTTGACAAGTAACGCTGTAATATTTATCGAAGCAAACCCATCTAACGTATCTCCACATCAAAATCCAATGAGTTTATTTATATCTTAAAGATCTTATTCCTTATCTTGTAGTTTTGTTATATGTTTACTCATTAATTGACTGTCTAAGGGTAAGCTTCTTGGAGAGGCAGAGTAATGATGACACAAATCAAATTGGAAATTCATCATTTTGCTAGTTTTAAAATTGGCATCTCCATTAGTCACCGTTTATGATAAAATCTTATTGGCTATTGGATTTTAATAGATAGTAAATTAAGTGTAGAAGTTTTTTTGACACTTGAATTGAATTCCTCATGAGCTATTCACATAACCTCATAGTTTGAGTTATTATTAAAACATTTTCTTAACTTAATAACTATGATACAGTTATTCAGATGACAGAGAGACAGACAGATACAACTCAGAACTTCGCACGTAAGTACATCAGTTCAGGTTGCCATACCACATCAGCACACAGAAGCAACTGTCAGTTCAAATCCAAGAGTGATAGCAATAACAGAAGTATTAGCAATAATGGAGAAGATTAGGGAGCGAAGATATGATTTGAGAAGTATTATTCAATAAGATAAATTTAGAAGGAGAAAAGTAGAGATTATGAGGAATGCAGAAGCTTAGAATTTCATAGAACACAAAGAGTGGATGCACCTGCGCTCACCAGTGCAAACGATTCTGAGCCATATCGTTTAAGGTCTCTAACCATCGGTGACTATCGTCTCGCGGACCCCAACCAGGTAGCCCCTACATCTACCAACATGACTCAGTCCACTTGTCACTGACTTCATAGATTTCTGCTATGTTTTGGTTTGGCCGCCCCTAGCTTTCTTCCAATCTACTCCTACAGTACAAAGAATAGCTTGTCGAGGCAGTCGGTGGTTAGGCATACGTAACACATGTCCCAACCACCTCAACTGATGAAGTTTCACTACTTCATCTATTGATTTGCTATCTCTACCTAGAACTCGTTTCCTAACGACAGCATTACTTATCATATCATATGTTTCCTAATTTTCTGATTATGAAATGTTTGCAATACATAATGATAGCATGCAATATGAACAAATACCAATCAATCAATAAATGCAATTCTATCACTTACATTAAATTACGATGACATTCAGCAATTTTTTTTAACATTTCATCAGTTGGTTGATTGAGTAAATGTAAACCAAATAAATATGAATGATCTTGATAGAGATCTTCCAGAAAATCACCAATTTTTGCTAATTCATTAAAAAAAAAATTTTTTTTTTATATCAAATAGAAAAGAAAAAAAATGATGAAAATTAATATTTAAATTAATTAAAATTAGTTATAAATTTATTAATTTAGAAAGATAATAATCATAATAATAACAATAATATAAGCAATAAAATTTTATTAATTATACATTTTGATTAACAAAAGTTGATCAAAGTAACAATAGAATTAATTTTTAATGATATATAGATCATTATATTTGTTTCTGTAATGAAAACTTTCTTTATGATAATGTCAATTTTCAACTTTGTCTGTAATGTTCACTTTTTAGTGTACGTAGTTGCTAGAATTAATAGTTCAGCTTTAAGACTTCAAAAAGTCATATCCTTGAGGTGGTGGTTCGGATTCATTTGGTTGGGGAATTCCACACTAGGAAGCGTTTCTTAGTTTTTCAATGGTTGCTTAATTACAATCAGTTCATGAGATAAAACTGTACAAACTCTTTCCAAATAAATATTTTTAATAAATATTAAATCTAAAGCAAATTATTCAAATATATTCATCATGCTAATAGGCTTTATATATTGTGTCGTTGCTTTTTCTAAAGAATTTTTTAAAAAATTTTTAAATTCTCAGTGAAAGTAAAACGCCACAATAAAGGCTTTGTTTGCAGTTAGAGCTTTGAAGATTTGTGTTATTTTACACATTTGAAATCATCAATCAGTTAGTTGTGGATGCGCACTGCCTCTGATGAATTCCATAGCAGGACGAAACGGCCATCCACTGCTTCCAGGTTTCTAGTGATGGTCCAACAATGATTGATTGATGATTTCAAATGTGTAAAAAGGCTTTATTATTTTCAAGATAATGCATACCGAATGTTGTAACAGTTTTGATTAGGAATTATCTTAAAAATAAATAAAACATCTTAATTTTTAAAGTGCAGAATAAATTGCAGCGGCTTATTTGAGTCAATTTAAATAAACTCTCAAACATGCTTATTTTTTTTAATTTTTAGATGTTATAAACATAAAACTGGGTTGCAAAGTTATGAGACAAATACCAGTTATTCTCTTTATTGTAGCTCTGAAAGAAAATAATGTTGATAAATTTTACTAAAACAATATATACTGTTTTACTCTACCTATGCTCAAACCAATTATTGGTTTAAAAAAGGTACTTTTTGGCTACGTAAAGTCGAATTGTTAACTGTTCTGACAGTTTCCTGAATTTTAAATCTAAAAAGTTATAAAACACTGACAAATCTCTGAAAACATGGTATATCTAGAAATAATGATGTATACAAGCACATATACCAAAAAGGCATCTGTGAATCAAACAAAAAAGACAGCCTATCATCAGAAAATACCGATAACACGAATCTGAGAAATATAAACTTCACAAAAAATACTCTCCAACAGCCAATGATTTTCAAGTAATGTGGGCTCGTACATCCCTTACTTATTTTTATACATAAATATGCATTACGGGGTTGTGAAGATTGTTAAGTTTCAAAAATGTATAACTTAACAATCTTCACAACCCCGTAATGTAAATTACCTGTGCTCACTAGTGACTAGCTTCGTGAGGAATCTTCTCCCATGAGTTCTAGTAGGAAGAGCTGACCAGTGAAGTTCAACCTGTTCGGGTGTAGGCAATGCCTACCGAAGACTGTGTATGAGGTTGCGCAACTCCGTGAATCGATCAAGTTAGACATTAACGCCGTTATATGCCGGCTCAGTGGTCCGATGGTTAGGCGTTCGTGCACAATACCGGAGGTCCTGGGTTCGAATCCTGCGGGGTGCAGAAGTCGTGGATGCGCACTGCCACTGATGAGTCCTATTCCAGGACGAAACGACCGTCCAGTGCTTCCAGGTTTCTAATAGTGGTCTAACATTGATCGATTCATGGTTTCAAAAATATATATATATGTCCAAAAGTCACTAAACCCACTCTCATTCCATGAATTATGTCAGCAGAAAGACCACTTCCACCTAGATATTTACAACAACAATATTAACGGATATTCTAAATTACTGTTTAGATTACAGCGAAACCTTATATACATGTGAACAAAGAATCCGTATAATAGAATAGGTTTTATGATAATTTACATAGCCTGTTATACAAAAGACATAAAAAAAAATAGATTTATGTATAAACTATACCAAGATAGGAATTCAGTAGTAAAACTAGCCGTAAAAGTATCAGCTGAGGACAAAATGTTGACGAAAAAAACATAATACAATCAAATAATTGTAAATAATAAAATTACACAGAAAATTAATTATGTTACAAATAATTAATGATTTGAATTAAAACACCTTTATTGGCTCAGATAAATTTGTAAGGTCAAAATAAAAAAAAACTAAATTCTGTAACACATTCAATGACTAATCTACTTTCATTCACTGAAACAATTTCATCTAAATATTAATTATTAATAATTTGGACATGAGGTAACCAACTGTGAAACTAAGCGTGAAATGGTTGAATGAATAAAGGAAAATTATACTTGCTAATTACAAAGCTTTTACTATTCTGTAAACATATTTGTAAAATAGAGAAAAATCTTAACATTAATTATATATTTTCGAATAATATAATAATAATAATGATAATAATAATAATAATAGCTTAATGAATACTTTAATTATTTCATAGGAAACATGATAGTAAATCGAAATTAGCTTTTATACGATGAGTAAGCAGGCAAGTTTGTGTTTTTAGTTCATAGTTTGAAAAACTGTTTTTAATTATTACGTTAATTCAGACTGCCTGATAATGTTATTCAGTTTTTATATAAAACTATAGAGGTAAGAAAATTAACATCGAAAATAATGTTAAACAGGATCATTCAAAAAAACATTCAGCCAGTCAGTTAAAACGTAGAACGTACATCATTTCAAGTTGTCATACCATATCAGCAAAGAGACGCAATCGTCAATTCAAATCTTATAGTAGTTGGGGTTAGTAGAAGTATTTGCAGTAACCAAAAAGGTTGATTATCGAATATATCATTCGAGATGTATACCCCAGAAAAATCGATTATAAAAAACGGTCATGAGGAATTCTGAAGATTAGGATTTGAGAGAACGCATAGAAAGGATGCACCTATAGGATTGTAAACGATTTGAGCCATGTCATTCAAAATCTCTAACAATCGCTTATCATCATCTTGCGTGCTCCAACCAGGTTTTCGACACATGCAAACATGACTCAGTTCACTTATCAGCGACTTCATGGATTTCTGCCATGTTTTGGTCTGGCTGCCCCTAACTTTCTTCAAACCTACTCCTACATAACAAAACATTGCTCGTCGAGGCAGTCAGAGGTTGGGCATTTGTAACACATGTCCCAACCACCTCAACTGACGAAGTTTCACCTGCCTTACCTAGCACCCGTTTTCTAACAACAGTATTGCTTACTCTGCTGTGCCGCGATACTCAAGCAATGCTTCGGAATCACCTATGATCGAAAACCAGTAACCTACGAATATCTTCTACTCTGACTGGCCATGTTTCACAGCCATAAAATAGGACGGAGCAAAGTGCTGCAGTCGTCCTTTGTTTATTAGACAGATATGTCATCTACGCCATAACTGACGCAAGTTGGCAAAAGCTAATCGAACTTTCTTTTTTCGTGCTGGAGTTTCATCAGTCACCAGTCCATCAGGATTGATGGGACTCCCGGGATAAGTGAAACTTTCGAAAAGAACTACTTCACTCCGTATCATTAGTTCTCGTGCCGATACAAGCCAGTCAAGAAGCAACATTTTGCATTTCGAAGGAAAAACCGCATTCCGAACATGCTTGCACTGTTGCTTAGGGTAATCAGAAAAAATCCGAAAAAAAGATCTGACTAGAAGTCAATCTGCTCACAGGATTCGAATGCAGGATCTAGGGTCTTGCGCGCAAACCCTTAACCTCTGTACTAGTGATTCATGATTTAAAAAAGTAACTCAACGATCTCCACGACCACATAATGCAAATTGCCTGACTTACTAGTGACTAGTTCCGTGAGGAACATTCCGCGAGTTCTAGTGAGAAGTCTTGTACGGGGAAGTTCAATCCTGTTCGGGTGTGGATCAGTGCTCGCCCCAGACGGTGTATGAGGTTGCGCAAGACCGCGATTTAATCGATGTTAGACGTTGACAATGCCAGATACCGACTCATTGGTCTATAGGTTAGGCTTTTGCGTGCAAGATCCAGGGCGCGCACTGCTGACGAGTCCCATTCCAGGAGGGAACGGCCGTCCAGTGCTTCCATGTTTCTAATGGTGGTCTAACACTGATCGATTCATCGTTTCAAAAAGACTATTATTTATCGTGTCATAAACAGAATATGATAAATTTATTTATATACATATTGCAACAATATGTCAGAATTAAATGTGTTTCAGTACTCTATATCAACTAAAATAAAGAGATCTTGAATTATTTCGTACTTGATTAACTCATAAGATACGAGCGATACAATTATGACTCTTCAGTGATGTAACCAGCAGTTCCAGATTGAATTATTTCACTCATTTTTACACGTCAGTATTCTTCATATTACTGTTCAATGTGAATAGGAATGATTTCAGTCGTTGAAAAGATGTAGTTTATCTTTTTCATTCCCGAGAAATCATTTTCCATCAAAGAAAGTATCAACTAACCTTACACTTTATCTTGAATATAATATGTTGAAATATATAATGTAGTCTACTAAAACAAAGAAGCCTAGAAGCACTAAACTAATAATGAACGATACATGAATTCAAGCAAAGTCAACAATCTTCACAACTCTCTAATGCATATATATACATTGAAAATTGACAATGTTTGCAAAACTCTATGACGATAAAAGTCACCTTCTGCTAAGTAATTGATTTCGAAAGGCGATTACCCCGAGTTTTAGTTAGATATAGTGACTATGTCCAGCGTTAGGCAAAAACCTACCGATATTACTAGATGAATGCTCAATAAAGAGAATTCAATTTAATAGGATAAGTAAACCGCTGGAATCCAGTTCAGTGCTTT